GAGAGAGGAGACAGAGGATCCAAAGCAGGCTCTGCACTGAGAGCAGATAGCTGGATGCGGGGTTTGAACTCACAAACCATGAGATCATTACTTGAGTCTAAGTTGGACGCTTAACTGGCTGAGCCACTCAGGCGCCCCTTAATATCAATTTTTACTAGCTTTTCCACTAATGTCCTCTTTCTATCCCTTCTGTATCCTGCAACCCAGAGTTATCACATTCAGTTGTTATGTTCCCCCAGTGTCCTCTAATCTGTGACAGTTTCTCAGGCTTTGTTTTCATGACTCTGATAATCTTGAGGAGTATGGGCCAGGTTATCCCCTGATTCGGGCTTGTCTGATGTTTTTCTCATGATTAGACTGGAGTTATGGGTTTTAGGGAGGAACACGCAGAGGTGAAGTGCCTTTCTCATCCTATCACATCAGGGAGTAGGGGACCTCCACATGACGTCCCTGGTGACGTGAGCCTTCATCAACTTGGTTAAGGTCGTGTTTGCCAGGCTTCTCGGCTGAAAGTTACTATTGTTCCCTTTCCCTATTCTTTGGAAGCCAGCAGTGACTTAATATTACCGTGTAAATGAGAGACCAAATGAGAATGGAAAGATGAGGGCAGAGGGTATTTAAGGGGGGTAGGGGGCTCAGAAAGCATTTTCTTCATATTTGGTGTGGGGCTGCTCCTACTCACTGGAGGAAGTAGGCTATGACCACGGTTACGTGGGCAGATATGCAGCAGGGGAATTTAATTCCTGTCATCTTTTGAGCACTTGCTACGGAATGGCCCCCTTGAGAGCTAATCATTTGGAACCAAGGTAGTGCCCGTGGGCTTTAATGGGGCCACTCTCTGCAGAAGGTGGTTAACATTCCTGTCTGCCCCTCCCGGTCAGCTGGCAGTGTTTATTTACTATGCTGTGTGGAAGCCTCAGAAACAGTGGATCACCCTGGACACAGGCATCCTGGAGAGTCCCTTTATCTACAGTCCTGAGAAGAGGGAGGAAGCCTGGAGGTTTATCTCCTATATGCTGGTGCATGCTGGGTAAGGAATGCTATTAAGTCACTGACGGAGGAGGTTGACTGTGAGTACTCGTCACCCCCAACATTTGGTTGGTGCTTTATTATTGATAAGACACTTACATGTGCATAATCTAGCCGGATCCTCACAGGAACCCTAGGAGGCAGGTGTTATTACTGCTGCGTCGTGTCTGAGGCTTAGGGGATGTATTGCTCGCGCCAGGTCACGTGGCCACGTGGCAGAGCTGGAACCTCAACCCATTGGTGCTAACCCCCAGTCCAGTGTACTTAGTGTTGCGTATGGCTGCCTAATACTGGTAATTATATAGGAACAGTAATGAGAAGAGACCCGATCATTACTCAACCACACGTATGTTCCCATACGTATGTTGTTTGATGTTGTTAAAATGTTCCCTTTAGGACATGAATCATCAGTCCCTCCCAACCCACCCCTGCCACACACTTAAAAAGAATTAATTCACGAGCATTTTGCTGAGTGTATAGTACTGTTTTATTCCATCTGGAATAATACAAGCAATGGGCATTGGTTTTCATTTATAGCTTCTTCTACGCTAGTAGTCTTTTATGACCTCACTCAGAACCCACGACTCAGAACCCACTGCAGACAGTGAGCAGCTTGCTGCTGGCCCCCACCCTCCCCACTGAACGCCTGGGGCTTCAGATGAGGCCAACTTCACCTATGTGACCTACCCAGCCCTGGACCTTGAAGGATGACTCTGGCCAATGGCTAAATAGGTATCCATGGCAGGACACAGGGCTCAGAGGCTTGACAAGTCAAGGACAAAATTGCTAATTGCTCAGTTTCTATGGATACTTTCAGTTTGGTCTTCCATCTACCACGTTCTGAACAAATGTGGTTCCTGTACCACATTTAAATTTTATTATGAGGGGGACAGTCAGTTAAATAGTAACGCAAGGCCACATAGTATTACAGAGTAGTTACTTAACATCTTGCTGCCTCAGTTTCCACATCTGTGAAGTGGGGTAGTAAGTACCGACCTCACAACGTTGCTGTGATTAAATGAGACAACGGTTATAATGTCATTTTTGCAGTGCCTGATACATAATAAGACCCTCAGAAAGACTTCTCAAGGAGGCGTAGGACAGGTCACATATGGGGTTGTATAAGTTAGGAATGCTTTTGGATGGAAGTAGTCAAAAATCGAACGGGGGCCCGAACAAATGGAGGTTAATTCTTTACCGTATGAGAAGCCTAGAGGTATGTGGCTAATTCGTCAGTTTAATGAAGCCAAGACTCTTGGTTCTATGCTGGCATCTCTGCTTTTCCCTTGACCTTTCTCTCATGGTTGCCAGTCGGCAGCTGTAGCTTGGTATTAAAAGCAGGAAGGGGAAAGGTAGTACCAGGTGCTGGTGACATCAATCCCTTTTGTCAGGAAAGAAGCTCTCTTACCAGTCCCCCGTCAGCGCCACTCTTACCTGCATCTCATTAGCCGGAACCATGAGACACAGCTACCCCTAGCTAAGAGAGGTTGGCAAAGTCAACATTAGCTCTTCCGGCATCACTACGGGAGGCAGACAAGTGGTAATGAAATGGATATGGGATTAGCTACTGTAACATAAACAGAAAGATGGAAAGATTGGGATGGGGAGGGTCTCACAGATGACATGTATTCAAGTTGTACCTGGAAGGGTAGATAAAATTTGGCCGAGAAAAGTTGGGATTTCTATTCCGAGTATATGGCAGGATCTCATCTTTATGCCACTTCTACTCTTGCTATTGAGCCGCAAAAGAATGCTGAGGGTGATTCTTTGTTTTTTGTTTTTGGGTTTTTTTGGTTGCTGTTGGTCACTTTATCCCCAAGCTGTTCCCAAAGGATAAGATGAGATGGCTTCCTGTGACTTTGCTCAAATTCACAAAGTGCACGTATTTCCAAATGCTCTTTCTGAGGTCTCCTTAAGGCTAGTGTAACTGTCCTTGCTAGACTATTTTGTGCTGAATTACATGTTACTTCTTGGATATCTTTGGAGATGACTTGGACAGTGATAGTTGTGGCTGGGTGCACATGTGGCCATGGAGGTAAGTAATCTGTTCTGCAGGGTGTGCCCTGAGAACCTCTGCTGGGTAATTTGTTAAGTAAATTATAACCCAAAAACACAATCCCTAAAGCAAATATGAAAGCTCTTGCACTTTGTGGAAGATCCAACACCTATTTTGTTTAAAAAAAAATTTTTTTTTTTACATTTATTTATTTTTGAGAGACAGAGGGAGACAAAGGGTGAGCAGGGGAGGGGCAGAGAGAGAGGGAGACACAGAATCCAGAGCAGGCTCCAGGCTCCCAGCCGGCAGCACAGAGCCTGATGCAGGGCTCGAACCCATGAACCGTGAGATCATGACCTGATCCAAAGTCAGATGCTTAACTGTCTGAGCCACCCAGGCGCCCCCTAACCTTTTTGGTTTAACCTGAAATCTCCTTAAAAAAAAAAAAAAGTCTTGTGCTACATAGCAACTAAATTAAGGATTACTGTAATATGGGAATGTACCAAAATACATGCAGAGATTCTCCAGAGATACTTGTGGAGTTTGACAAGCAAAAGAATACGAATTTTTTAAAAAAATATTTTTACCTATTTAAAAACTATAATAAAAACCACCTGTATAGTCAGTTATGTTCTATGCAAACTGTAGTAATGGGACATAGTAAATTTAGCTAATATTACTGGGTAAACTTTCTTTTTCATTTTGGTAAGCTTTGTTTTTCGACTTTTTAATGTAGAAGTGGGAATAGGGGTTTCTCTTGCCATCTCTATTTTATTAAAGAATAGCCTAAGATTGCAAGACTGTTGTTTAAAAACCTGAGCCTGGCTGGCTCAGTCTGTAGAGCATGTGACTCTTGATCTTGAGGTTGTGACTTCAAGCCCCATTTTGGGTGTGGAGCCTACTTTAAAAAAACAAAAACAAAAACAAAACAAAACACACTATTGAAATTTAAACTCAATGTGAGTGAATTAGGATTTTCTCAATACCATGCAACTGAAACAAAATCAGATGCTGGGGCTGACGTAAGATGGCAATTGTCATCTAAACCTAAATTCAAGTTTATGTTCCCTAAGCTAGCCTCATCACTCTCTGTTTGACATTGTCAGTTACTGTTATAAAATAGAACCTATAAATGTATACTTCTAAAATGTCCTTTAATCTTACATATTGAAGCTCCGTGTTGAGATTTTATTTTTAAAAAGTCACCTAAAAAAATTAGAGAATGGAATTTGAGTTAAGCAAGTCTGTAACTACCCTGTTAATGTCCCAAAGAAATAACTATGTGGGTTACTCATAATGTGTTTGTCTCCACAGAGTTCAGCACATCCTGGGGAATCTTGTTATGCAGCTCATGTTGGGTATTCCCTTGGAAATGGTCCACAAAGGCCTCCGAGTAGGGCTGGTGTACCTGGCTGGAGTGATTGCAGGTTAGTGTTCTGAGGGTAATACAGAATCCGTGTCTCTTAGGAAGCAATAAACAAAGCAAAAAGTAATAAACATTTCAGTCAAGATTTATTGCACTCCTAGTCTGTGCTAGGGAATTTGATAAGCGTTAGAAATAAATTAATTAGGGGCGCCTGGCTGGCTCAGTCAAAAGAGAATGTGACTCTTGATCTCAGGGTCATGAGTTTGAGCCCCATGTTGGGTGTAGAGATTACTTAAATAAATAAAGCTTTAAAAAAGAAAAAAATAAGTTCGAGGGTTGCCTGGCTGGCTCAGTCAGAAGAGCATGTGACTCTTGATCTCAAGATGGTGAGTAAAATAAACTCAAAAAAAAAAAAAAAAAGAAAAGAAATAAGTTGATTAGAATTAAAATATTTGAGGTAAGGTAAGTAGATAGAGGGGCGCCTGGGTAGCTCAGTTGGTTGGGTGTCCGACTTTGGCTCAGGTCATGATCTCGTGGTTCCTGGGTTCGAGCCCCACGTCGGGCTCTGTGATGACAGCTCAGAACTTGGAGCCTACTTTGGATTCTGTGTCTCCCTCTCTCTCTCTGTTCCGCCCCCACTTGCACTCTGTCTCTCTCTCTCTCAAATGTAAATAAAGATTAAAAAAAAAAAAAAGCAGATAGAGGGGCACATGGGTGGCTCAGTTGGCTAAGTGTCCAACTCTTGATTTTGGCTCAGATCATCATCTCATGGTTTTGAGATTGAACCCAGCATCAGGCTCCATGCTGGGTTGCAGATTCTCTCTTAAGATTCTCTCTCCCCCTCTTTCTCTGCCTCTGTTCTGCTCATGAGCTCTCTCAACAAAACAGAACAAAACAAAACAAAACAAATAAGCAGATAGAAGTCGTTGTGCCTGTCCTCAGGTATTTCAGTCAGACACCGTTTTGTACAGTTGGAAGTCATGTGTAGTTTGGTGTCCGGGTACATATATTGGGGAGAGACCTACAGCCAGATCATGAAGGCCCAATGTGTCAGACTAGTGATCATGGGAAGTAACATGAGCAAATTTCCATTTAAGAAAGAAAGCTTGAAGAGAATGTAGAGAAGAGCTGGAGGGGCCCAAAACTTCAGTAGGAGCTAGCAGCATATGCCTGTGATCTCTGAAACTGGGTGTGCCTTAAGATGACCCACTTTGGTCTGAGCAGAAAATATTAGAATTTCCATCCATCCACTTATTTATTTATTGTAAACATTTTTTTTTTTTTTTAGTTACACTTTTTACATCACAGTTGTAAGAAATAATACCTAGGGATCTCATGTATCCTTTAACCAGTTACTCCCAATGGTAACAGCTCGCAAAGTATAGTACAGTATCACAACCAGGAGATCCACATTGAGACAGCCACGGTGCAAAACAACGGATTCCTCACGTTGCATTTTTACAGCCATACTCTCTTCTTTCCCACCCCACACTCTCTTTCACCCCTGACAACCACTAATCTGTTCTCTATTTCTGTAATTTTCTCACTTTAAGAATGTTGTATGAATGGAATATATATGTATATATACATATATATACATACATGTGTGTATATATATATATATATTCCATATATATATTCCATATATATGTATGTATGTGTGTGTGTGTGTGTGTGTGTGTGTATATTCACCTTTGGGATTGGCTGTCTTCACACAGCATAATTCTCTGGAGATTCATGTGGGTTGTTGTATATAGCATTAGTTCATTCATTTTTTTTTTTTGAACAATTAAAAAATTTTTTTTAAGTTTATTTATTTATTTTGAGAGAGAGAGAGAGAGAACAAAGAGGGGAAAGGCAGACAGAGGGAGAGACAGAATCCCAAGCAGGCTCCATGCTGATAGTGCAGAGCTGAACATGTGGCTTGAACGCATAAACCGTGAGATCATGACCTGAGCCAAGATCAGGAGTCAGAGGCTTAACCGACCAAGCCACCTGGTGCCCCAACAGTTCATTCATGTTGATTGCTGAGGGGTATTCCATGGCATGGATGTACCACCATTTGTTTAACGCTTCATTCGTTGGAGACTACCTGGGTTGTTTCCAGTTTGGGGCTATTACAAATAAACCTGTTAGAAACCTTTGTGTACAGGTTTTTGTGAACAGAAGTACAGAGTTTCGTGAACATAGGTTTTCATTTCTCTGGGATAAATGCCCAAGAGCACAGTTTTTAGGTTGTATGGTAGTTGCATATTTAGTTTTTTAAGAACCAGCCAAAATGTTTTCCAGAATGGCTGTTCCATTTTGCATTCCTCCCAGTATTGTATAAGTAATTCCGTTCTCCACATCCTCACCAGCATTTGGTGTTGTCACCTTTTTTTTTTTTTTCAACGTTTATTTATTTTTGGGACAGAGAGAGACAGAGCATGAACGGGGGAGGGGCAGAGAGAGAGGGAGACACAGAATCTGAAACAGGCTCCAGGCTCTGAGCCATCAGCCCAGAGCCTGACGCGGGGCTCGAACTCACGGACCGCGAGATCGTGGCCTGGCTGAAGTCGGACGCTTAACCGACTGCGCCACCCAGGCACCCCAGTCACCTTTCTTATTTTTAGCTGTGCTCTGTGTAGTGATATCATGATCTTAATTTGCTTTTCTCCAATGACTAATGATGTTGCACACCTTTTTGTGTGCTTCCTTGTTATCTGTATAACCTCTTTAGTGAAATACCTGTTCATGTCTTTTGTCCATTTCCTAATTAGATTTTTTTAAACCATTGAATCCTAAGAGTTCTTTACATACTCTAGATCCTAGCCCTTTACTGAATATGTAGTTTAAAGGTACATTTTTCTCAGTGTGTATTTGTCCTTGCATTGTTTTAATAATCTTTCATGGAGCAGAAGTTTTTAATTTTGATTAACTCTGATTTATCAATTTTTCCTTTATGAATCATGCTTTTGGTCATATCTAAGAATTCTTCACTGGGCCCTAGGTCCTGAAGATTTTCCATTATCTTCTAAAGTTGTAGTTTTACACTTTATATTGAAATATGTGACCCCTTTTTGAATTGGCTAATTTTTGTATAAGATGTGAGGTTTAGATTGAGATTCTTTTTTTTTTTTTTTGATATCCAATTACTTCACAACAATTTATTGAAAATTCTACTTCCTTCATTGAATTTTTTTGGCCTTTGTCAAAAATCAGTTGGCTGTATCTGTAAATAAATAATAAATAAATAGAAGTATACCTTTGTACTTCAGGGTTGTGATATTTAATGAGGATTTTAAAAAAAGAACGAGGCTTATTTTAAAAATCTGCTCATTGAAAGATTTTATAAGTTATTTTGATTTTTTAGAGTGGTTTTAGGTTCATAGAGAAATTGAGAGGAAGGCATAAGGATTTCCCCTACA